TCTGTAACAACTGAAAATAAAATAAAATAAATAATAAAAACAAAGGTCGATCAAATGGACCAATACGGCAATGCCATGATGATCCATTTGGCAAAATAAATCCATTGGGTATCCTTGTTGGTCTTCAGACAACAATTCTGACAGCTAAAGAACAAAATGGGACAGGCAAAAGAAAAAGAAAAAAAAAAAGATAGTGGATTATAGACCACAAGGTCGAGCTCATTTACAATTTGCCAGAGGGCTTTGGAATTTTTGTCAAAGTAGATTGTGGGTGAAATTTATCCATTTTTGGGCATAAAACACAGTTAAAGTAACTCGCTAATATTATATTAGCACAGTCCATGTCCACTAACCCTCTCAGATTATAAGGTGGAGGTGCAGTGTTTTCAAATAATGTTTCCTCAGGAAAGTATCTGTACAGTAAAAAGTATTGGTCCCAGCATAGAACCCTGTGTAAATGTGTGATTAAGTTGCAGAAAACTGTTCATTTACGTTAAAAAAATTAGAGCCTATCAAACACACATGATTAAATCCACAGCAGTGGAATTACCATAATACCTAAAGTGTGTTCTAGTTAGAAAATACTGTGATCGTTTTTTTTTTTAAATACCGTATTGAGGTTGAGGACAGAAATAATTTCTGTGTCAGAAGATGATGATTAGTAACGCTCACTACAGCTCATGTTCTGCTTTGTTGCCCTCTCAGATTATAAGGTGGAAGTGGATTCAGGGGTGGAGTCTGTCCAGCTGCCCTGCAAAACCACAGTTAGCCTGCCTAAAGACGCTAAAGTTGAGTTTAAGAACAAAAACAACAGGAAGGTCCACGTGTATCAGAACGGCTCTGACCAGCTTGAAGAACAGCATCATTTTTACAGAGGGCGAACAAAGATGGAGAGAAACTTACTGGAACCTGGAGACCTCAGTCTGACCCTGAAACCCCCCACGGACACAGACACCTACACCTGCACCGTCTACAACAACAGGGGGGAGATTCTGATGAAAAAAGAAGTGCTGCTCATTGTCAGAGGTCAGTGCTGTAGATACAGATCAAAGGTCAGAGATCAGACTTATGGATAAGACAACGACCAAATCCACCTGAAAAGTCTGCATAAAGAATTTTCATCTTTTCACAGTGGGGGACTTTGAGTAAGCCCTAGTAAATAATTTTAGAGTATATGTACTTTACATATTCTAATTTTAAAATTATTATTTTACTAGCTAGCAAACTCGTGGGATAAATTATTGAAATGCACTGAGTGTGATGCAATACGGCACCGCGATTATAGCAGTTAGTTATGGCATAACAGCAATGTTAGTCAGGTACTTAACTAGCCAAATGAAGGCATTCTGATTAAAGGCTCAAAGTGAAGTTGTCACCAAGTAGAATAGAATAGAATAGAAT